TATTTTTTCTGTATTTTCTGCATTTTTTAGCCATTTCTTTCATGTATTCGTTTTTATCCACAGTCAAAAACATTGTACCATGCTACAGAGCAAAAAAAAGAGAAAAAAATTCCCCCTGAAGACTGGAAAACTTTTCCAGACTTAAGTCCAGAAATAAACCACAGTGGGAATATATAACATGCATTAGATTACATCAGCCTTAATTATGCTTCTGGTTTTGGACATTATGTTTAAGGACCATACATTTTCATTGATGCCCTAGCTTTGGGCATATTTGGTAGTGGGAAGGGATAAACTGAATTCATGTTGGTACAATGAAAGAAAGATATCACCCTCTAGGATTTCATTCGAGACAGAAGCAGCTAGTACCGCTTACTGTCATGCAGTCTCTACTGGAACGGTAACTTCCCATTTCTGGGAGGGCAGGCTTTTGGCAAAATCATCGTTATAAACAGAACTTTAGGGATGAGAATTTAAGAAATGTTTTACGAAACAGGATGCTTAGCTGCTTGCAAAGCCAGGTGAAATTGAAGTTTCCAGTTCAGAGGAAATTTCATTCATTCATTCAAAAAAAAAAGAAAAAGAAAAAGAAAAAAGAAAAAGATTACTGTAATGAGAATGTAATGACATCAATTTTCCTCATAAATCTGAAGTCCTTTCACACAAATTACACAAACCACCCAAGTGCATTTGGGGACTGCTTTTCCTTGCGTGCACATGTGTGTGTGTTTTTAGCAACAATTCACCACTAAACAGCAAAAGCTTCTTTTGGCATGAACACATATTGTACCATGACTGGACAATGCCAAGATAAAAGGAAAACAGACCCCAATCTCCTAGCACGAGCTTTTGTTAACATCAATACATTGACATCAATAAAGGCTAAAAGATTATGACAGTTGTGCTTTCTATGCCTGAGAAAACACAAGGTAGAAGACAAGCTGCAATATGCACCCGGGTCAGGGCTTGTGTCAATGGAAGCAAGGTGAACTTCCAAAAGAAACAGCAGGCAGTTCAGGTTAGGCACAGAAGAGGTGCAGAACAAAAAGAGACCTAGTTTTCTTGGCCTTGTGGCACAGGGACAAAAAAAAAAAAAACAGTGATGTGTTAGGAAATTCCTCAGGGCATATATCCTAACTTGAAAGAAGGACATTTCAAAATGGAATGGTTTTAAAAAGAATTTAAATTAATTTTAAAAGGAATTTATAACTGCAAACTTGAAGCTAGACTTCTTGCTGAGATTACATGTCAACAGATATTTACAGTGTGTTGTGGTCAAGCTCATATACTGGAGTAAGAATTCAGATTGGTAGTATGAAGGAATCGTCTTAGTTATATCCTTATATTTTTTTCCCTAAATATTTTGTAATGTTAAAATCACATTTAATCAGAGAGGATATTTTCTGTGATATGTATAGAAGCAGAAGGCAATGGTAAGTTAAAACAACCTCAGCTTGAGCTGGTAGAAAATAATTTAGATAGTTTTGTAGTGCTGATGTATTGCCAAGGTCACAAACAAGACTGATTTATTCAGGAAATGTGAGTTAGAAAGGCTATTTAAGGGAGCTGTAAATACTGTGCTTAGATGTCCCTAGACCTAGATGGATTTATTTCTTCCATCAGCTGTATTGAAAAATTATGATTTACCTGTAATCTTCCTGCACTATTCAGTGATAGACTATTTGATAATTTTTCTTGAACGGAAAACACTCCCCCCTTATTTTGCATATAAAACTGATATCCAGACTAGATCCTTCAGAATTTAGAAAGATGTCCTGGGAATCTGCTCCTGCAACGGACACATCTGCTAACTTGCTCTCAGCATAACAGAAGCATGATCTGAAAGGGTCAAACAATTCTTTTAGACACGTGGTAGTTGATAGAAAGGTCCCCTAAGCACTGGAGAAATATTTCAATTAAAAATGGAAATGGTAAGGGTGAAGCACGTACATAGCCTAAAAGAAAAACAAACCACCACTCGTATTTCCCTACCAACAGCACTCTTGTGAGCATCTTTTCTCATGATGATCTTTTCACTGCTGAGAAGCATGTTTCACTACTTAATCTAGTCAACTGTTACCTGTGATATAGCCTATCAGTTTGTACTCATTTTCCAAGAATTGGGTCAAAATGTTCTAACTGATATATTTGAAACAGAAAATGGTAAGCATTTGTCTCAAAAACCTTGGTATGAAAGGGTTTCCAGAGTAGAATTGCTGCTCTCATCTCCTTAGTAATTTGCTTTAAGATGAAACTCAGGTCCCAGTTTTGGATAGCTAAAATCAGTGGCAGCAGGATTGCATTGCTCGTCACAGCAGGCGAAGGAAACAAGGCACACATTCATATATGGGCACAGGGCTTCAATGGCTGCCTCTGCTTCAAATACAACAATATGCCGATTTTCCAAAGCTTCTCCCAGGTCTGGGGCAGGGGATGAGTAGGTATGAAAGGGATTACCAAGTGGGCTAAATGGGTCCAGCTCAGCAAAACCTATGAGTGCCTGGAAACTGCCACCTCCTCTCTTCCCCAGGCTTTCCAAAACGCCCTGGAGGTAGGAAGGTCAGCCTCAGGAGAAATTACCCAGCAGATGGCAAGAAAGAGAAAGGCACAACTACTTATTCAAGACTTTAAAGGGCTCGTATGGACTTTTAGAAATAAGATGACCAATGATGAATTATAGACATATTCTGGGAGGAAAGTAGAGTAGGCAGACAAATGACCATGGCAGGAATCGTGATCTGCCCATAGCAAGTAGATTTTAGATGAATAACGCAAAATGAGCATTTTGAGGTGCAAGAAGGTTAGTAATAAAGTTTAGTTTCCTAAGTTTACTCAGAAATAAACTTATATCAAGCAAAAAAAGTACTTTCAAGGAGGCTAGCTAATCTGTATATTATTCACAAGCTCAGCTACCAGAGGCTAATGTTAGGATCTGGGCTTTCTACATTTAACCTAGAAACTTTGTATTAGCCTTTTTCTTAACAAAATTGCTACGTACTTACTTCTAACCCCAGCAATTCAATACCTGCTTTGCATAACTGCAGTAGTATCTAGAGCTTTACTTAAAATTACAATATAAGCACCACAGGGAATGCAGTAGGGAATAGTCTATAGCATTTCTAAAATGCAAAGAAGGTGAACACCAGAAAGCAAATGCAAAAGTCTACAGGCTGATAAAGTTTACTGTTTTTTTCATTACTTATACTCATTATCGATAAAAGAAAATATCACTGTAACATTATGCTAAAGCACTATTAACCAGTAGGCAAAACACTAGGTTTAAATTCATACTCGTGGCTTGCATGTTGCAAGGAAGAAATTCCACACAAGCCACTAAGACGACAGCCATTCCATGACTAATTGCTACCTGTAATCACTATTCTGCCTGGCTACTCAATTGTTACCTATTTTACAGTTTATGGCTCCTGACTGCTTAAAACTCTCCTTGAGCTCCAGGAGCACAGCGTACAATATCCATCCCCTCCAAAACACTGGAATTTTTGTCATTGCTCCAAAAGCACCAAATTTTCCAAAGCTGTTTCTCCTCCCTCATTTGTTCACAAACCCAGATTAAGATCACCTACGGTTGTGAAGCACAATGAATTTTAAAATGTCTAGATCGTAATGAAAACTCTTGCCTCAGGTTGGTTGTATGAGTTTTCTTCTCTAGCTAAGACCGTCACATGCACTGATTAATGCAGCTTTCAGCAAAACACATGGCACCAACAGATAGGACACAAAGGACTGAAAACATCTGCACTAGAAGTAAAAGAACAACAAAACAGTTAATAGTATTTTGCATCAAATCAGGTGTTATTCTAAATTTTTTACTGCAAGAAGAAAACTTCCTGCCAAAATGACTGTGACATATTCCAGTATTAGACAGTGCTCTTTCTTAGAAAAAAAATGTTTTCAGGGGAAAATGACCAAAAGCAGGAGTAATAAAATAGAGAAGAATTAGAATTAATTGTCCTCTTTTTTTCTTTCCCACAGCTCCTCTCTGAATGACATTTCTATTTCTTCAGTATCCATGTTCTGATTGTTATGTTTTCTTTTACTGTCACTGATCCTTCATTTCTCCCCACACATTATCTCTGTTTTCATCCCTGGAAACTACTTACATATGCCACAAAAATTCCTGAAACCCCTTTGACTCCTTGGGATGGCCAACACTACGTAGACAGTGGGTAGCGCCGTTCTCAGAGGCGACTGTGGCCCAAAAGAGGAAATGAGGAAAAGACATTAAACACTGCTCTACCAAAAGAGGAAAAATTGAGGTCACTACTCTACTTGAGAATTGTGATCTCTTGGCAAAAAACAAGATTATAATTTACCTAGTATAAACACGAAGGCAATTTTCTCTCTATTGCTTTTCTATTTCCTTAGGAATTCACAGAATTATTCCAAGGCCAAAGGTTGGGGGGTGGGAGAGCACACAGGTAATTTTAATTCCTATGTATTTATATACAAAAAGGGAAAAGCAAACTCTGTGTTTTCTTGAAGAAAGTAAAATTACCTGGACACTGGTAGAACTGGAAAATAAAAAAAAAAAACAAATAAATAAATTAAAGTCAATGAATAAGTTTTAAACTATGGAAGCCTCATATTGCAATGACTAATTCCTTACTGATACGGAGATAGCACGTCTGCTTGCCACTCACTTTCAGTTAACGAAAACTTGAGTTTTCTGCTCCTACTTATGGCCCTTTCTAGGATCATCCTCTTTAATCTTAGAAGCTGCAAATATTCATCAGGGTTCAGCCAATGCGGTTCTGAAGGAGCACGGAAAAGGGCACTAGAGGAGAATTCCTTGCATAGGGTCATTAACGAATCTCCCTCAAGCACATGAGTAAGAAATATTTACTGGAACTACAGGAAAGTTGTTTAGCGTCAGAATCACATCGTTCTGAGAAGTTTTTCTTAGCATAGCCTGGAACAAATGGGAAAGTAAGATGCAGTAGTAACACACTTCTGATATAACAAATTGCTCTTTATTTAAAGATGCTTTTTTAATATGAATAAGATTTTAAAGCCTGTCAAAGATGGCACGCAAAGATAAAAATAAAGAAGCGTCAGGAACAAAAATGTTCTTTTTTTCCTTTCCTCTGAATTAATTGGCATGTCAGTCAAAAAATCTGTCAATGCATATGCAATATAAGCAGCATGACTTACACTACTAAAAGCATAGGAAAAAAGGAACAAGAAGAACTGGAGAAAAGGAAAACGGCAGCTGTGATGAGCAAGGATTCTTCCCAATCTATAGTATGCATGCAGCTATAACAATACAGTCAAAGATGGTGAAGAAACGATGACAGAACTGTCAATTATAGCAGAGCGGCGTGTAAACAGAGATACAAAATCTGCCGAGCAGAACCGACATCAGGTGGTAGGGCTTTTCTGCTCACCCACCCCAAACCCTGTCCAGAGCAGCGGGGATCCCACTCCCTCGTGGCAGCTGGAGAGGCTCATTAGCCCTCCCAGGCTATCAAAGGGGTGGGAGCTGCTCTCGGTGGAGAAAGGGCTGCAATAAGTGAGGTCCTAATGGGAAACTGTAGACACAAAAAGGCGCTGGCTGAGACGTAAATTGGATTATTGATTGCTACATTTCAAATTAATCTGAACAACAGGAAAGAAGTAAATTGGGACACCATGTCACGGTCTTGTCTGCCCTGTTGAAGAATTCAGCTTGTTTAGAGGTGTTTGCAGGAGTCATGGTCTTAAAGCACTTCTTTAAAGTATTGTTCCGTTGTTCTAAAGTATTGTTCCGTTGTTCAGCATTCGATATGAAGATCACTAGAAGGTAAACGAGCTCTGTTTACAAATGCTATTAATAAGCTAAGGCTGCCTTTTAATCAAGTCCTGCAAATTCCTCTGTTTGGATCTGAAAGCTACACTAGCTCCAGGCTTCACGTGTACCAATGACCCTATGGAACAGTATCAGCTTCCCTTTGGTTCCCGTTAGGTTCACCTTGAACGTGACCAGCACTTCTACATGATATATAAGGTAAGGCAGAATTCAGCTTTGGCACTGTCCTGGGAGAAACAAGCAGCAAGAAAAACAAACCAAAAAGCCACAAAATTACTTTTGTCTCAAGAATAGGCAGCTGCAATTGAACGCATGCAGAAAAATCTGCTGAATAATGAGTTTGTTTTGTTTTTTTTTAAACATACTGAAAAACATTGTACTTCAAAAAATGGACTTTGAGGTCCCAATCCAGGAAATCAGCACTGCCAGCACACTGGCCTGGTGTTTTAAACTACAGGTAGCACTATGAAGAGTGAAACAAGTTAAACTTTGTCTCTCTTGACCATTAAGATTTCATCATTCTGAACCTGCTTCATAAAGTAGGTTGACCAGCCTTTCTTCCATGAACCAACAAAGCATTGTGTTATCATTCAAATCCTGATGAAATAAATACTGTTTCCTTAGATGTTCTTACTACTCCACTCTTCACAATACTCAGCCTTTATATGGGAGATACGGTTTCAGTTCTCTGCCTTGACTGAGTAGTCTCAATCCCCCATTTCTAACCTGTGAAAAAAGTGCCTTAAGCAGCATAGTGCCTGCTATTCCACATTTCATAGAAAAGACTCAGACTCTTTCACTGATGCTTTTGCAGAACAGATAGAATATATTGCTGGGCCAAAAAAAAAAAAAAATACAGGTAAGGATATCAAGGAATTCACCAGGAAAATGAAGATACCTCATTTCCATTCTCTGCTCCAGTGCCTTTTGGAGATTTTATGCTAAGCAACCTTTGAATAAAATGCACATGCTATTACTGGATCACAGTGGAACTAGAGAACTCCTTCATACCACTTTAACAGCCTACAGATTTATGCATATTTGCTTTCTGATTCTTTCTCTTAGCTTATTCATTTTCTTAACAACAGGAGAAATTTAAAGTTACAATGTGGTGTCAAGGCAGACTCCCGGACAGCATGACATGAAAGTTAATTCCCTTGAAGTTACTCCTCTAAGAACTCAGATACCATATTAAAATGGTAAGGGAAATGCAACTACTCCATCTTCTCTTCTCAGCTCTTGATGGTTTTTTCGTAATGTCTGCTCCACAGGCAGAGAGATGTCTAAACTGCCTATTCTCCCAGGACTTAGGCATTAGTAGCTCAGTGTGAAGCTACTCAGCCTTGATTGGACTCAGATCTCTGCGCTGGGTAGGAGCAGACTTTAAAGTGTTTAATACTGAGGAACCCAGGCATTTTATGTACTCCAAAGTTAGATGGGTAGTGCTCAGGACCCCACTTTTGGCCTCAAACATTTCATTGCAGCTAATATTATAGCAACAACATAGCAAAGCTCTGTATGAGCCTCCTAGGAAGGGAAGGTGATTTTATTTTAAAGGAAAATTGGTTTCATTCACCGTATCTCATACCACCTGGCATATGTTCACGCAGTCCAGACAGCCACGCTTTGCTACGATGACGCAGAAGAGGAGGGATGGTGGCTATTGAGGCCTCCCTGCACCTCCTGGATTCTGCTGAGGTTACTGACCAGGTGCTGGCTTTGCATAAGCCTTTTTTTTCTTTCAGAGTTGATAATGATTAGGAAGTTTTGTCTCTCTAAAATATCCCACCTCCAGGAGTCACTATCCTCTGTTCACCATTTCTTCTCCTTATCCAGGTGTCACAGGGCTTCAGTCCAGTTCTTCTCACCTTTGTCTCCTCATGGCTTGATACCTTTTCTTAGGCCCAGAAGTGCTGAGAAGCTGCACAGAAATGTGCTGAGATCTTGATAACCTGCTAATCTGGATGCTGTTAAACTATGCCATTGCTATAACCTGCTTTTGGTATCGGTTTTGGTGCTTCCACTGTCATTCAGATCGTCCCACTCATACATATCTTTATGCTTGTATTACAAATCTCTTCAATGTAATGTCAGAAATGATGACTCAGTCCATCAGGTACCTTCTGTAGATCTGTCTTCTAGTCTGAAGTGAAGAACAGATCCTGTTTCAGAAAGTCAGAAAAGATGAACAATTAGAAAGAAACTGCTTTACTTCTATGCCATCTGTATTATACATACCATTCTTAATTTTAAAGAATTCATTAATTCAGTCTCCAGTAATAAACTGGATCAACAGCAGAGTTAAAACAGGCAGGCAGGGAGAGTCTACCTATATGGTGATAGATGCTAGAGCTCACCTGGCAAGGGAGCATGAGCGCACATCAAAATGCTACTACTAATTATACTACAAACATAGGCCAGGATGCTGGACTACTGATCTGGACGGCAGTAGGTGCAGTACTCCAAACGGAACTGGTGAGAATGCAAAAAATATATAGTGGTTACACAGTTGCTACGTCGTGTAAAAAGTAAATACTCTTGATATGATTTAAGGCAAAGAGCACCAATCCTGGGAGAGCATTAATCACTGAGACTATTTCTTGAATATTTCTTTTTCTGCCTCCTAGTGTTCAGCAAGCTGCATTTGTTTTCAGGCTCTCACATATCCTACTTTGAAACTCACAACAAATTCATTTTCAATCCTGCCTCTCACTTTTCTCTTTTTCCTGAAATATTATTTCCTATAAAGAACTGTTCTGTTGAATTAAAACATTCAGAAAAAAAATTGATTAAAAAAAAATTAAAAAGCATTTTGATCACTTTGAAATAAGGGTTTCATCATTTTTATGAAGTAACACCGTGATTTACTACCATAAACTTTTAAAAACCTATGCAAAGCAACCCCCCCCCCCCATTTTTTAAATTTTAAAAGAACTTAAAAGCAAAAAAGATGTGGAAAATCTTTTTTTCCCATTTTAAGGTACTGCCACATTTTTTTTTCAGGAAATTTGCAATAAAAAGGAAAATCTGATCCCCCCCCCCCAGCTCTACTTATCCACTGTTATTTTACAAACTTGGATCCAAAGTAGTAGGTAGACCTTTCTGAACCTATATGTTAAATCCGGACATCTGTTTAAAATTCAGATTCTAATAGGATCCAATAACAAAACAGCTACACAGGTAAGTAACTGTTGCATTGCCATCAATTTTTCAAAAAGACAAAGGAATCATATGAATAAGTGAAAAGGTACGTTCCTTGTTGTGATGTGCCATAATTACCACTTGATTATTTTCTTGAAGAAATTGAAGTATGTCAATGTAACGTCATCGCCTTTGTTAGGAATCTGAATGCACAGGAGTCAGAAAACTAAGAACCCCTGTTACTAGTACAGCTGTGAGTCAAATGCATTTCACATATCAATGTAATTTCATTTTAGAGCAGAGTGAACTGTGCAAGCATTTTCCCAGGGACCTAATCTCAATTTAAAAAATAAATTCACCAAAGCTTTTTGCATCTCCTCTTTGCCTGCTCTATGGGCCATATCTTTAAAGCTACAGAAACGTCTATTAATTTCCAACCTATCAGGAGCTGCTCACCATACACATATACAGTCTTAATTTTTACTGGCACAGCCCTATTTGCATGCCGCAGAGCAAGAGTACTTCTTGTTCTCCCTTAATATACCTTCAAAAAGCAAACCCACTGAATGCCAACGTAAGAATAGTTTCTCATGGTTCGTTCCACTCTATTTTATTGAATTATATAAAGCTCTTCTATGTAAAGGTTGAACTGCTGCAATTGTGTAATATGAACTTTGAGGTCTATCAGCTATAGACTCTTGATGAGTTAAATTTCTCAACGATGATTATATTAGTATGCTATCTTGCAAGGAAACAAAACATATACGTTTCTATCGGTGAAAAATTCATTGAACATGCTCTTTTGAAAATTAGGTCAGATAGCTAGTGAGTTAAATCTAGCTCCAAATACAAGCATGCATAAGTATCTTTAACCAAAACTTCTGTTGAAGTCAGCTTGCCTATTTAGCATAGAGACAGATTATGCCAGTTTCTAAGTATGATTGTGCTTATGGGATTAGAACTGCAACTCAGCAGAGAGGGAAGAAGTATGAACTGGCTTTTTTTTTTTTTTTTTAAATTCCAAGGATATTTTTTACAGCAAAAAAAAACTCACTTTCAAGCTCATGGTATTATGATCAAGAATGAAATAGCACAGACAAAATACGTTTCATTTACATGCTTGTACTATGCTGCTTAAAGATGAATATGATTACGTCAATTTGCAGTGGTGAACGCATGCCATGACAAGTTAATGCGATTTCAATACTGATGTAGAAAGAGAACATCAGTGAGTCCATCGCAAAAGTTCAAGTCAGTCAACCCAGACCTCTAAGATTTCTAAATTTATACTTCTTCCCTGAACAGATGTTAGTCACCCATATGGAACATCTGGAAATCTGTTAGGTTGCTTCTCCCAATCATTTTAACGAAGTTCCTTAGGACACTTTATTTGAAAGACTGAGAAGTTGTTACAGTGATACTTCAGTTTGTTGACAGATTTAAAATTGCCTCCAAAAAGATAACTCAAAGTAATATATCAAAGTAATAATTTTCTAAGAAATACCATGTGAGCAGGCAATTATAATTATCACTGCTACATTGTCCAAGAATATATATTACTTTCAAATATAAATACAACCAACTTAATGTAAGATTGTTCCAAAAAAGAATTAAAGGAAAATATTACAGTTAAAGATTTTAAGTCAATAGATAATCTGTTTCCCTGTGACCTTACTGATTTGGTACCAATTAATATCTCCCGAGGCAGGCACATATTATATTACAAAAAAAATTTATCTTCTCTTTGGGTTTAATAGAACCTCCAACTATGTATTGGGAGTAACTTTAACTGTATTAGCATCTTGTATCACGTTAGTCTTTCTCTTTTGACTGGATATACATTTAACAAGGGTCAGGTCCTACTGAAAATTACTTTTAATTTTTGTAGGAATTGATGATTTTGAATTATACAGATAACAGTCCTGACAACTGTAAATAGACCACTGTATGAAATAAAAATAGAAGCCCATACATATACACACACTCTGTAGCTCAGAGTACTACATATCACTGCAGATGGTAGTAGTACAACAAAACTGAAACACACCCACTGTTTGGGGGAAAGGGAACAAACAGCTGGTATTCTAAATAGCAAGAGGTTGAAGGGAACAAAAGTGAAGGATGCGCTCTTACAAAATGCCATATGAACATTGGCATTCTTGCTGAGAGGAAAAGGACTCAACTCAGAAGGTCTCTGAAGTATCCACACATATCCAATTTCATCTCCTTTGGAACTATGGAGTTCTAAACTCTTTTTACTGCTGGGAATTACCCTTGCAATTGCATAAGAGATTAACTATCTCACCAAACTCATGGTTTATACTAGACAAAAAAGATTTCTTAGGGAGTCAAGTGCTAATCCTATCTTTGATCAACTGACTTTTTTTCCTAAAAAAGTAAATGATAAAAAAAAGTAAATGATAAAAATGGAAAAATCTAATATAGAACAATTCTCTGTTCTCCTTCCCCCCTAATCTGGCATATTGCTATTTCAGATATAGAAATAAAGTTGCAAACTTAAATATTATCAACCACAATAAGGACCCTAGGACAAACTGATCATCATGCTTTAGATGCAACACATTTAATATATCGTGTTTCATTTTAAACTGGGCATTTGTCACTTATTTCAGAGTCTGAACCTTTTCCTAAGATAATCCAGCAAACACAACAGTAAAAAGCTTTCTGACTAGAATTTTAAAGGCTTTGTTTTAATTTTAACCTAGCATTTGCAGCAAATATATGAGCTATATTCTCAGGCCTGAGAGCAGTCACAATTTATTTTCCTTCTAGCATCATAACCAGAATTTCTTGGTTCTATATGAAATTAGGGCCCCCTTTTGGATAAGACGTGGGAACTTGCCCTGTAAAGAAGATATCTAAATAGAAAATGGAAGATTTGAGTCTTCTAGGCCTCCTTCTTCCAAGGTCAATGCTCAAGAAAACAAAGGGATGGGATGGTCATCGTCTTCCTGCTAACCTTAAAAAAAAGAAAAGGTAACTCATGTTTTGTTCTGCATGATTCATTAAGTGTGTCTTGACAATACCTTTAAAAGGAAAGAAATGGAGGAATTTTTTTTTTTTTTTAATCATTTTACATTAAAAATGCATCACGGCCCGTAGTCAGGTGTGCAGCTAGCAATCTTGAAAGCCTCATCTGCAGGCCAGCTTTGGATGTAGGTACCTGAATTCTGACAACATAGTACACTGGATGATCAAATTTTTTTGGGGTATAGCTCATAATACTACAAATGGTTAACTGAAGACATAAACCCCAGAAATATTAAAATATCCTCTGATTTCAGGAAGCATTCTACCTGTGGAAAACTATATGACAATGTGGCAGACTGTGACAGACTCACAAGGTATGTAGACGGAAAGTCAAAACTAGCCATCCAGTTATTCTTTGTTTCATGCATTAGTGCTAGCAGCACACAGAAGTGAGGAGTTTTACAGAGGGATTTGAATCAAAAGGGAATCATGATTTCCACATAAATTGCAAGCATGGAAGCTGGAATGTTCCATTCTGTTATGATTTTAATGAAGGTTTTTTACAAGTTTCTCTAGTGCTGCTCCTGATTGCTTTCCTGGCTCACAAATTCATATGCTGTTCTTCAGTGATCATGTTTTAAAGCACACTGATGCAAGCCATTTTTAAAGGTTCTTAAGAAAACATTAATTTCTACTCCCTACCATTTTGTAATGAAGGGCAACATTATGTTCTAGTTTTATGTGCAACAAGCTTTAAGAAAAAATCATTATGATATGCAAGAACAGTCTGGTATCTCTTGAAGACGTTGCTTAAATAGTGTCAGCAGAGCACGAACCATAAGCAGCTGAAGAGTTCGTTCTGGCACAGACATTGAGATGCAGTTCATGAAGGATGGAGTTCAGTTGTTGAAGAAGAACCGTTGGAGCAAGTAAAATGATGATGTGGCATCAGTGCTGAAGCAGCTGCAGATGGGATAATCCAAGAGGACAATACATATGCTGAGGCAGGAGCAACTGTCAATAGGGACAGCTTGCCTGGTTATTTGGATGCCAATTCTATAGCATGTGTTTACTTGTGTACTGCGTCAATGAAGACAGTCACTTGACAGTCAGGCAGCTTGTTTGGGAACTTCAGCGTTACCTGTCTTAATCATTTGTTAGGAGAAAGAGATGAGTTGCTGCAGGCAATGTGAACTGAATTAAAAAAACAGGAGCTAATGTCAAACCAACCATATTTTCAGGTTTCTTTTGAAATTTGGGTTGCCAAAAACTGCTGCTGTTAAAATAAATCAAGACAGGTATCTATGACCATCCTCTCCCCACACACAGATATGTACATAAAGAGGCACATTTTTCAGATCCCCACTGAAAGAAAAAGATTGCAGTATTACAGCAGTACAAAAGCTGGAAAACTACAGACTTCCATTTTCAGAAGCTCAAAGGAAAAAAAGCCAATATGATAGTGAAAAGACAAACAAAAGGAAGTTTACTGGCAGCTAGCAGGGAGTAGAATACTTTTCTAAATCAAAAGATAGGCAAAAATCTCAATAGAAAAGAATTTAGTTTAGCACTGGTATCACCTTTACTTCTCTCTGGGATATCTTTGGCTCTTCCCTCTCATCCACTCCTCCCAAATTTACTATCATAGATGTTCTTGTTTCCCTGTGATTTCTGTTCTTTTTTCTTTTTTTTTTTTAAATCCTAAAAATCTTTGGATCCTAAAAGCTTAATACTTATAATGAATCTGCTCTGTGCCCTTCTGAAATAGCAATTTCATTGCCACGGGCTTGTGAAGTGCAAAACTGTCTTCTCTGATCCCACTCCATCCTGCATGGGTTTGTTGACCCTGTTAGCTGTTTTCTTGAAGAGGCAGAGCCAAAGACTTGCTTTCCAGAACAATCTTAAGAGCAATCATTGGTGTCTGATCTGTATTTACTGCCCAGTGCGTTGTAGTTTCCATTCTCTGTCTGGAGTAGTATCACTCACCTCTGCTCAGAAGGCTTAATTTTGTGGACCTGAGGGCTAGAATAGCTAAGGAAAAAAAAAAAAAAAGGTGTTATAATTTCCAAAAATTAAATACATACGATTGAAACATATATAGCAGGCAGACGGTGGACATGTTACCATTCCTCATTTTTACAGCTGTACAAAACTGGTAGGAATTCCAATAAAGAAGTGAACAGCAAGAGGTGGGGAGCAGTTAGCAGGAGTCTAGTTCAAGAAAGCAATGAAGTGGACATACTTGAGAAAAAAGCAATCGGCAATGAACTTCCTCTTGACCACTCACAAAGACTAACTGCACTTCAAATCTGGAAACTTCTTTCTTGAAGCTTCTGAGGTGCTGATTAGAACGAAGGAAAACATTTTATAATGTTGATTTATGGACTTAGATTAAAAAAAAAAATCCTCTGGTTGTTCAGAAAACACATAAGAGGACCTTCATTTAGCTTTTCCTGGAAAGGGGAGGAATACCTTATTAATTGAAATGGAATATAAAATACACAGTTTTAGTCCACAAGGCAAGCTTTTTTCAACTTCTCCATAGACGCTAGTTGGGAGTTATAATGGAATCGCAATGACATTGCTACAGCATTCAGCAATAGAACAAGATTCAGTAATCCATGGCGCTTCTAGCTTAGCAATATTGCAGTTATTGAGTTACGTGTTTTGTTTTTTTAGTACAAGCTGTTTCTCTGTAACTAGTCGAAGAGCAAACAAGTATCTGCACACTGTATCTCACTCATTTAATTTGTTATGATTGTAGAATACCTCATCAGGAAAGTGAATACATCAGTAATGAAAATATTAGCTGTCATTGAGGAATCTGAAATACACAGCTTGTAAAAATGCTCCACCTGACAGTTTAGAGGTAAACATGAACAAGTAAGGTAAAAACACTTTAAAGACAGTGAAAAGGGTAAATTGCATAACAAAAAGGACATTTGTATGGGGTAGGTATGATGATTTCATTTGGGATAGGTGTTTATGTAGCTATAGTGAGACATTCTTCTATGATAAGATGAAGAATTGGGATTGGTAGGTCCATGAACTAGCAGTAAACAGCAGTAATTCAAAGAATGTAATAGTTTCTTCGTTCCGCAGACACAAAGTTAAATGTAGTTTTATCTACGCTGCCCTTAAATTTTACATTGCCTCTAAAACCCATGAAGGGCAGAAAACTAGCTGAGAGGCTAAACCTTCCCTCCCTCCCCCCAATTCCCAGTTGGCATACTAGACTAGGAGCCTAACACACAGTTATGGCACGGAAAGAAGCACTTAGCATTGTAGTGAAGCAAATGACCCCCCTGCACAGTTGAGGCAGCGTTCATGGTCACTTTACACAACTGCTGGCAAGAATTAAGAATAAACAAATGAAGTTTCTGATTTAAAATGGTAATTTGTCCCCAGCTGGGAAGAATTTAGGAAGCAGAACAATAGACAAGTTGTGGAACACTTGAAATATCCAAAACATATAGATAGTTCAAAAGAGGGTCAGGCTATTATAGGAGAATATTTTTTCCTCACAGGACAATAGATATGAACAGCACTTCACAGAATATAAAGGAAGATGGAGTCCTCACTATAATGCATTTATAATTCAAGGTTCAGATCCTGCTGACCTTTTTCATAGGAATAATCCCACTGGATTCAATCATTAAATGCTCATTCAGACAAAACCCTTGGGTTGGTGGTAATGATTGCACTTGGCTTTGGATGAAGGTTTTCCCAAGCTCAGTTTCAGAACTGCACACAGCATTGAGAATTACACAATTTGCATGAGAAAGGGTTTGAAGTTCAATCTTCAGATGATCCTTTTGCAGTTTCAATGGGTCTGAGGAAGAAGAACACAACACAGGAGGAAGCTGTCTGTACTGTTTAGATACATCTCTTATAACATGGCTAAATACTGATTTGAGCTGTAAGCCTACAGATAATTGACTTGCTGGAGCAGAGGAAAATATATGGCATCTAAGTGGCACGTTTAACAAAAGAATTAAGATCATATTTCACAGCAGTAACAACTGCAACCTTTGACGTTACTGCTTTGCTAACACCACAGCTCCAAGGAAGTACCTATTTAATCAAGGTGGGCAAAAAGTCATCCAATTCTAAATTTACAGCTGAAATGTATTTAATGATAAGCTATTTCAGAATCTGCTCTGTCACATTAACGAACACTTTTTTTTTTTCCTTTTAACTTACAGCTTAAATGCTAAACTGGAATCTATTGCTTAGTTCAATAGGATTCCAATTTGCTCAGATTATGAAATTTATTCAGTTGCCTTTCCCACTCTAGCTAGGACATCACTATCAATTAGGACATATCTAGTAATCTTGCAACTCTGGGGAATTATGGCAAGCTGCCTTTTCAGGAGAAATGATATATTCATAATCATTTCCTGGACTAATACCCATTTTTCAAGTAAGGTCCCAAGCACAAGCTACCAGAGTCAGCTTCATTCTTATTCCTGTGTATGCTTGTACCCTTGCTCTTTCTGAGTCCCTGGTTCGTTGAAAGGTTAAGTACTCCACGCACAGTGAAACAGCTACAGCAGGAAGAAACAAGAGCATCCCCGGCCCAGGTCAGCTTACAGGTACCTTGAGAGATGCAAATTGAACTCTCTTCAGTCAGGGAAAGGAATCAAACCTTATTTCCTAAATCCTGTTGTGTTCTCCAAACAATAGCTTGGTAAAATAAGAGGCACAGGTCAAGTCCAGATTTTGGGAAGCAGGAAAGGAGAAGGAGGGATGCTTTGCTCCCTTCTCAACACCTCTGATCTGTACAGTATAGCATGCCTCTACACCCTTTTCACTTAGATCGTGGCTACTGAGCCTCTTATTTGAAACAGAAAGACATGACCTCCAGCTTCATTTTTGAATGATATACCTTAGACATGTTCTTCAGAGAAAAGCTGAGGGCAGAACAGTCTGCCTCTCGTGACTCCGTAAGAGATCTCCAACGCATCTTGGAGAATTGTAGGCTGGCTTTTTCAAAAATACCATTTTAGGTCATTTTTAGGCAGTTTAGGGGGCTGTTAACCCTAGAGTTGTACGCTTTACTAGAGAAGCAGTAGTTTCAAAGTCAGGTTCCTTGTCTAAATTATATTTCAGGTTTGAGATCAAGTTTAGATCACCAGACATCTAAAACCGATAGTCTGCACAGACATGATCAGGCGCAGGCCTCGGCTGAGTTCTGGACCACAGCAGGGGGGAAAGCCAACCTCTTGTCAGCTCCCAGCACACATGTCCAAAACTGTGCCTTCTTGGTCTGTGGACGCTTTGAGCACATGCACTGTCAGCCCAGGTCTGCTGCCGTATATCAATCCATGTTTTATAGAGACATGTGGCTGATGCTGTCAGACAAGTTGTTACAGGTTCCTTCTTCAAGGGATCTCAAGCGTCGGCAAGTTCTATCGGAAATGTAGGATGCTTGAACTCAAGCTGTTCTGAAAATCCTTTGGGTTTACTGCATTCAAGTGCTGGCTACTAAGGGTACGCAATGCTATTGCACGATCACAGAGCACATATGCTTTAGCAAATGCTCAGGTGGTTAGATACCAGGATATCTAAATTCCCTTGCTGTCTTGTGCCCAGCAGAGAAACTTTTAGTGAACAAGCAAGCTGGTTAAAAGTCTCGTTGGTGAAACGTGTCATTCATGTTTGCCGAAGACCCAGTTAGCAATTGCTTAGTCAGAGACAGTTGAGAGGATATCATTCTTACTGTCAGTCTAATCTGCTGAGCAATTTGGATACAATGCTATGGAAAAATGTTACTGTACCAACTTTGCCGTCAAGTATTACATTCCAGAAGTTAGGGGATGCAGCTGACTTCTAGTAATTGTTTCCATGTTATCATGCAAGTTTTCCTCTTTGATGCTGCAAATTAGACCTGTAGAGGAAAAAAAAAAATGCAATTTTAAGTTTAAAAAAAAAAAAGAAGCATTTTTGAAGATCCTGCCCATGACTTGGCATACTGAATTGGACAAGAGATCACATACATAGTTCAAATATCCCAGAACACCTTAGAAAAGAACTGGCTAAGTGATACCACTTTGGTCTCAGCCTCAGTGGACTACCTGGAAATTTAATTCTAACTTTGATCTCGGTACACAGACTAATTACCCTATTTAATAAAGAATACAAAAAATCTCTGGCATTGTATCACACTGATAAAACATTCTATTTTTCTCCCATCTTTTGTTACTGCCCTTTAAATTATTCCTTTCTGTGGTTCAGTGGGTCTCTTGCTTTTGAAATATTACACTATTTTCTTACAGTATCCCAGACATGTGTGACTGGCCCTGTAGAACAGAACAGTAAATCCCTGACTAGAATTTAAAACCATACTAGTATTTTAGATGGAGTTCTCTTTAACCTTCTATTTGAGCTTTCCATTTAGTCTACTTTTTAGCTCTTAACTCTCATTTGAAATTACAATGATCTTTCATAATGATAAGCTGGGGAAATCTATCCTTCCCTAGCTGTAGTAACTTTTAACATCAGTTAGAGCTAAGCAGTAACCAGCTTTACTTAGATGAGGCTGAAAACACCTTTGAAGCACAAAACCTGAACCAGAAATAATAATAATGGCAACAATTCTTTGGATGATAAAATATAGTCTACCTTAATGTCAAAAAAAAAAAAAAAAAGAAAGAAAAGAAAAGGAGAAAAGGACAAGCCAGCACATTTCAACTCACTTAGAAGGAAAAGATAGTAAAGAAAACTAACTCCCAAGTACAAAGCCTCCATTTACTCCATTTTTTTTTGTTTTTTTTTGGTTTTTTTCGTTTTTTAAATCAAGGACATGTTTACCTATTTCAAAATATATGCAACTTTACAGTTATTGACCAAATGGCAGAATCTTTTTCTTTCTAGGGACATGTCTTGTTTCTGCCATGAGAAAAGAAAGAGTTCAAAAAAAAAAAAAAAAAAAACAAAAAGGTACAACGGAGCACAACAAGTTGCTTAGTTCAAACCAGAAATCCAACACATAACCGCCTGAAACATTTCCTTCCCTCCTGCCTTTCCTGCCACAATTCACACAGCACAGTATTTGTACGTAGCAAACATTAAAACCTCACATAAAAACAGTACAATTTATACCACTATTATTTAGAACACTTTTTATTGTATTTGATCCCATTTCACAATATAGCTTTTGAATTTCACTTTATACTTTTACTGTGTTTGGTTTTGCCTTTGCACCAGAGCAGTCTGAAGTTCAATTTCAATAGAACAGATCATGATGAATATCCAGTCTTTATATAGTTGTAACATTGAAGGAATCAACAGCAAATAGAAAACAGTGAACATTTTCCTTTCCTGTTTCTCCTCTTAAAATCATAATATTTCTTAGGTTATTTATTTTAAAAGGAAGAGCTTTGACATAAGCATTATTTCATTGGGAACTCATAAAGAACAACAAATTCGAGCCACCCAATCACATGCAAGCTGATAGTGCTGCACTAAAGAGGACTCAAGAAAAAAACATTTAGTCTGGAAACAATTTCACACCAGACAGAGGAGATTTCAGAGGCAAACAATCAGCCAAGAGGAAGCATCCCTGTGTTAGGACCTTATTCTGGTGTGCTGAACACACTGGGAATATTTAGGTGAGAAAGTTGTTTGCTTGCAGAAGTATTTGCAGGTTCAAGTTGTATGCATAAAGTATCCCTTGCAATCATACCTCTCAGACCAACTTACAGTCAACTCCTACCTTATAAGGTTGCGCCTTTTGTTTTCATACTCTCTATTCAAGCTGCTAGTATAATGACATTGTAGGGAAGAAAAAAAAAAAAAAAAGACGCGTCAAGGATGCCAGCTGACAGATCAGGAGTTATACAGAAGTTTGGTTACAAGAAGGTCACTAGAATTAACTGACATATGAAACTGGATTTGTGTATTTGAAGTTTGCCTTTATAGTACTCGTGTTTCCTGATTAATCAACTTGAATGATTGCTGCTGAAGAAAAACTTAAAACATGGTTTTCACAAACATTTGTTATTTGTTTCATTTGGAAGTACTCACTTCAGTAACCTTGTTTGCTTGGGTGCTTGCAGAAGAAAATGACATTTGGCATGCAAAAATAATCAAAGTGACTTGACTTAAAACTTCAACCAGTGATTGTTAAATACTTTTATTAGCACCTGTTCAACGAGAAAGAGAAATCTAATTTCCATACAAAAGGCTTCTAGATGAAATAGCAAATGAAAGTCAATACCAAAAAAGAAGAGGCATACTTTTTTTTTTTTTTTTTTTTGATTTAAAGAGCATTGTGTAATCAAAGCTGAATTGCTGTTTTTTGGTCAAAGGAAGGTTTTAATTGTTTAATAGCAACATAACTTTACATTTTTGTGATTACTATTTCAAAATGATTATCTTGCTATGTGAGAAAAAATAATTCCATAGTATTAACATTAATAGCTTCATATAAAAACCTAATTATATTGGAAAAATGAGAAAGTCAAATCACATTAACCACACACACAAGTTTTCACTTAGATATATCTATTAAAAAGAGAGAGAGAGAGATGAAGATGAAGATTTCACACTGGAAAGATTGACTATACCACAAAATACTTGACAAAAAAAAAAAAAAAAAAAGTACTTATAACTGCAGTTTCCTGAACCACCCATAAGGATTACACCTTTCCACGAACCCAACATTTTCCAAAATTTTATCAGGTAAGCCAAAAGTTTTTAGGTATTTTAAACTGATCAAAATGAATTCTGAATTTTTCTTTTTAGTCACCCCAGGATGACATATCTTAAGACTTATCCAAAACTGAACACCCACAACTAAATAATGACCAATATGTATTGTAAAAATCAATACGTATAAAATGTTGACAGAACTGTAAATAAAAGAGAACAGCCTTCAAAATATCAAATGGAAGGTTATTAGTGATATTTTAGATGTTATGTTGTACATGCATACATTGTGTATGTGGGTTCACACTTTTGACTTACAGCAAATCATGTTCACCAATGGATAATTTATCAAGCAGGAACACCATCGAGCCCTTAAGAGATTCCTATTTTAATAAGGACCTTGCTTCTTTATCTCTGAGTGTGTGTGTAATGTCTGCTTGCGCCCTTTCTGGTACAGATTTATGGAAAAGTAAATCTGAATTTTCTCAATGTTAGTGAAGGGACTGCAAAGAAAAAAATATTTTACTTCCTCAAATATACCACAGAAACTTGGCTGCAAGCAGCTCACTAGAAGCAACTGATCTAAATAAACATATCTTTACATTTAGCTTCAGAGACACAGAATGTTTATCTTCTCATTGTTACAGGGAAGATATTCGTATAAAAAGCTACTGCAACGAGTTGAACCACAAGATGGTTAATGGCACTAGTAATGGCATTATTCAATATCTAGATTGAAAAGTATCTACATAGCCAGGATCTTTATAATTGCTCTTGAGCCCCTAGCCATTAAGTCTTAAAGTGTAAATCACTAAGCAAGATCATTGTTTAGAGGCTGTTTGTTCACTTAAAAGCTATGCTAAACTTCCAGATATGGAGTTTGATAGGAGTATTTCCTACCTCCCGTTCTCTTTCTGCAGGGTGGTTGGAATTAACTTACAGGCTTTCAGCATGGAATTCCACTGGATACAATATCAGATTCCCATTTTTGTTATTCAGTCCTGCAGTGTCTTCTCTTATGTCCTATTTTCTTTACTACCTGTAAACACAGGTAAGTCTGGAAAAACAAAAATGAAGTATCAAAAGCCCAATTCTGAAAAAGGTCCTGCTTTGTAAACAAGAACCTCCCTCTCCACTGATGTGAACGCTAATGCATGATGAAGTGCTGAGCTTGTGGCTCAGGGTTATTTAAGGGTGGCCTCATTTTGACCCCAGTATCAGTGTAGATTTGCACTATGAATATGCTGTAGGAAAAAATAATAAGTAGTACTGCTTAGGAAATGTTTCAGTGGACTGATTCCGTCTCTCTTACCAGTGCTAGCATCAATGTCTTGATCCGTAAAGCTAGTCAAATAACTTCCAGATACATCCCATTAATTGAAAACCCTACTAAGAATATAAATACAATGAAAAATTATTTATATTTTTCCCTGAACAATCCTTGACAATTAGTCTTTTTTTTTCAACTGCTAGGAAACTTCCAACAGCTCAGAAACTAAAAGGCTACTACTTTTCCAAATTATTTCTCATGTATTTGTAAGGGTTGTCAGAGAAGATGTTTGACCCTTGCTACCCTATTAAGCATAATTAGTCAATTCCAAGCAGCAGCAGCTACGGGTTATCTGTTTTTCAGCCCCTTGCTTGCTTGGCATTGTATGAGATTCACCCATACCATTGAGACTGTCATTTTCTATTTCATTACATTTTACTCCTGCTAAGGGTTCCTTAGAAATGTTACAGAAGAGAAGTTTGAAATGTGATTCAAAAAGTAAAGCTTGTCTTGAAGGTTTGAAAAAAAAACCCAGAACCCAAAGGTCATTGATTGCTCCAGCCCCCTTGCTCCGAGGAAACAGTTTGAAGCCTAGCCTCACTTTACGGTCTGCTATAGCACATATTTATGTATTGTATCCTACTACAATTTCATGTAAAATGCACAAGTACTCCTTAGAACTAGACCTCTGAGAGCCCCTATCTCAGATGACTGTTAAGTTCGACTGTTTTCCCCCTACAAACTGCTTCCTGGACAAACTAAAGTTGAAGTACACGGTAGGATGCCTTCCTCCTAGAATATGCATTTACTTGATGATTTGGAAACTCTCCATATATGAGAGAGATTAAGTTTGAATTCCCTCAAGAAGAGGGAAAACTTATCATCTGACATCCATCCCTAACTTCTAGGCAGGTATATAGATAGAGGAAGGAAAAAGCAGCAAGCCTACTAATTCTGACCCCATGTTA